CAGAAACGCTTCATGACAAATGGAGCAATCACCCCTAAGAATAGCATATTATGACTTCCAAGCACATTTTGGTTCAAAACTCAAAATGTTTTTAAAAGCATTTTTGGATAGTTAATGAATTTTAATATCTTAATTTACTGTTTTAGAAATGAAAAATTTTGTATTCTACTTTTGAAAGCAAAAGTTATTTAAGGCTGAACAGAAATTTCTTTGTATCTGAGTAGATGTGCCTATCCACCTGTCTACTTAGCTATCTTCTACTCATTCACACAGATTCTGCACATATATTTCATTTTTACACACACAAACTATCCACTAACACATATACATATGGCTTAAATTTAATTCAATTCACAGAATATGAAATGTGTACTGAAAACATAGAGAGAAATTAATAAAGAGCGACTTGGATTGAGACCCTTGGAATAGTCCATGGAAAGTCCTCAGGACAATGAGGTTCTGATCTTTTCAAAACAGTTACTAGAGGAATATGCCCTTGGAAAATCCCCAAGCAACTTTTGTTATAGGTCTTTTCAGCCACCAAGAACTCTAGACAAACCATGAAGTTCAACCATTGTTCTTTCAGTTTTCTCATTTTAAGTAAATTGGTAATATATTACATCTGCTATTGTAATTATCCATTATTTAGTTTCTTCTGGGAATTACCAGTTCCTTGTTTAATAAGAGAAATTCCCTTGTGCTACTCTCAATGTATATGAGGCTCACAATGAGGGCTGGAAGTTTTTTCCATCTTAGTCGAAATCTTAGGTTTGGACTGAACATAAAAAAAAATCACTTCCTAATTTTCTAGATAAGGAAACAGAGAACAAGAAAAATAAAGCTCTCACGCTTCATTCCAGTCTCCCATTTTTAGACAGAAGAATGGTTAGTCTAATTCAAAACATGTGAAGTACCTGACCAAAGTCTATTCCTACACTGGGGGATGAGAGGAGAAGAGGTGATGGCCTTGACTTTTGATCAAGGCACCAATTGATCCAATCCATCTGCTTTATTGGCCTAATTGAGTGTAAACACTATCCTGTCCACCAAGTCAGCTTTTGAAAGAATCCAACACAAGATTCAATCCAATACTGAGTCATCAAAATGTTTGTTTAGAAAGTTGCAACCAAGCTTTCTAACTGCATTTGGGAAAATCTGTCTCATGTAAAGACCATATGGGCCTTCCAACGATGCCAGTCAGAAGCAAGGTGCTGCTGATAACTTGACCATACCAAGTTCAACTGCAATTTTGAATCATTCTCAACTGTTCCCTGAGCTTGTGTTTTTTGTCCAGCTGGTGTATCACCTGTGCAAACTGTTTGCCATCAAGCAAAAACAGAAATTTGTGTGTGTGTGTGTGTGTGTGTGTGTTGTGGTATTGGGGTTTGAACTCAGGGATTCATGCTTGCTAAGCAGGCACTCTACTGCTTGAGCCACACCTCCATTTCTTTTTGTCTTGGTTATTTTGGAGATAAAGTCTCACTTTTTTCCAGGCCAGCTTGAAACACAATCCTCTTTTATGCTTCTTGCCCTATTTGGGATGACAGGCACATGTGCCCAGATATTGATTGAAAGGGGCCTCGCTTTTTGCCTGGGCTGGCCTTGAACCATGATCCTCCTGATCTCAGCCTCCCAAGTAGCTAAGATAACAGTCTGAGTCACTGGTACTGGGCTAATGTTATAGGGCTTGTTTGTTTGTTTGGCTGGCTTTGTTTTGGCAGTAGGAGAGTTTGAACTCAGGACCTCGAACATACTAGGCAAATTCTCCACCACTTGAGCCACATCTCCAGGCCTCAGAATTTCAAGTTTCCTTTTGAAAATGACAAACACGTTCCCACAGTCACTGCTACATTTTAAATAATAGAGGTCAGAGATGCATGAAACGTGGGTATCAAAGAGATCTGCAGTCTGAGAAAGACTTGGTGAGCCCTTGGTGGCTTAATATGGAAGGAGCCATGTGGAAAATCTGAGAGGAAACTGGACTCTGACATCACCCTGTGGGCTGGGAAGAGGACCCAAGCCCCAGACAAGAATGCAGCTCCAGCCAACACCTTGAGTTTTAGCTTGAGGAGCCTCTGGGCAGAGACCCAGACATAAAAAGTCAGATTTCTGACTAGTGATGGAAACTGAAGTAACAAATAAGTTGTTTTAAGTTGCTTTTTAAGTTTTAAAAATAATCCTAAGAGGTCCCGTAATGGTTCCTAAAACATGTGAGTTCAAATTCTAGCTTTTCACTAAGATGCTATATGACGCTGCGCCATGTCACATAAACTCCCGAGGCCCATCTCTCATATGTAAATTAAGAGATGAGGGGAAGACATAGTAATATTTATGTTCTAGGGTGATATGAAGAGCAAAGGAAATGCTTGAAAGTACTTTCCATATCAGAAGGTGTCATGTAAATGCAAATTTTTACATAAACCTCCCCTCCAAAAATCAGTGTTGATCCAAACTGTATGTTTTCTCTCCACATATCCATGCATTATATTTGAGCATAAAATTGGATAGCTTTAGTAAAATATTTCTTTGTGAAAAAGTGACACAGAGGACTTTTTAAAAATTACGTACAAAGACAAAAACATTTACTGAGCTGATCATACCTCTCCCAACAAACATTCAGAACCTTGAAATGTGTTTCAGGATTGACTTCCCAACTTTGTCCCCTTGTCTGTTTTCAGGACAGTGTCTGGCTGAAAATTCATCACCCACTCTGACAGTCACAAATACACACAATACAATGTGTGTATTTCCTCCTCTTTCCTCCCTAACAAACAATACTTAGAAGCACTTTGACACTCAGGATTTTGGCCAATCCTCCTAACCTAACCTGAGATAGGGATGAAATGACACTGTACAAAAAATGATTGACCTTGACCACACCACCAGTCAATAGCAGAGCCAGGCCTGGAACTGATGCTATCTGATTGCAAGCTGGGTGCCTGGAACGGTGGTTGGCAGAGGGCAGGGAAGACAGAAGATGTCACATACTTGTTCTGTTCCTGTTGACATCAGACTTGGTAGCCCTGTACTAACTCCAGTTCACGTGCCCTGGTGATGCCAAAGTCCCAGGGCCAGGCTGGACCAGACAATCAAGCAGGGCTGTGTTTGGAGTTTAAATTTGTTTGCTTTTAGTTAAACAAATTGGCTTGGGATTCAAACATAAGTCTGGGCTGACCAATAATCAGACATCTCACAATTTACTTCAAAAAAACCTGCATGCTTGTTTTATTTAAATATGTTCAAGAATATTAATGTTAACCATCCATCCCCCAAAATGAAAATATACAACCTCAAAACAAGCCTTGTCATTAATGACAATAAAATGTCTAATGTTACACTTAATTTCCTTCCCATCAAAAACTGAATTCTGGTTTTAACATACAAAAAAGCAAAACTGAGGCAAATATGGTGTTGATAAAATTGAAAAGCATGAAAGTAAAAAATGGAATTCTTCATGCACATCAGAAACTCATTCAGTACATCCATTATGTAGAGCCCCATTTCCATCTTTTGAAACTCTGCTGGTTAATTTAATGACAGGCCACAAACACATTAAAATGCAGGATGGTCATAAGAAGGGAACTAAGGTAGAGAGGAGAAAAAATAGAGGGGATGAGCCAATTCAGGTTATAATACATACATGGAAATGTCACAATAAAGTACCCTGTATTAGCTATCTTAAACAAACAAAAATGCCATTTTTTTTTAACAAAAATAGAGAAAAGGAAGGCAAAACAGGTCCTGTCTGGGGGGTTGGTATCAGTGGAAAGGGGGATGATATAAGGAAAAGGTGTAGGAGGGGAATGTGGTGGAAATAGTATGTATACCTGTATGCAAATGAAAACATGAGACCTATTGAAACTATTCTAGTAATGGGGGCAGGGGGAAAAGGAGAACGATGGAAGGGGTAAATTCAACTCTGATAAATTGTAAGAACTTTTGTACATGTCACCTTTTACCCCCAATACAATAAAAAAATTTTTAATAAAATAAAATACAAGTTGGTAATATTAATGAGAGAAGATTTGGGTCTAAGTTAAGAATCACTTTTAGCCTAAATTGTAAACATCAAAAGGCACCTGTGGGACTTGGCAGGGGAGAGGCGAGCACTTTGACATTTGCAGTATATGACTTCAACAATCATTGTGTTCTGATATTAGCAAGTCAGATACACAAAGCCTTGTTATTTCTCTCATGAACCACCCTCTATCTCCTGCTCTTCTCCGGTTGAGCGTGAGGAATGATGGGGGTTGAGCTCAGGGGCTGTCCATCTGCTCTAGGTATGCTGTCATGAGCATGAAAACACAGACTATAAATGATGATGTGAAATACCAATTATTTTCTTCTTTATACCTTCATTGATGCCGGTAAGTAAGAAGGGAGTGCATTCTCTTGAATTCACATATTTGGCAGTGAAGATGGGCTTAGAATCAGTGACTGATGAAAAAGAGTATTTTTGTCCTTTAAGAGTCCTGCATTCTTTTTTTCTGGCTGCCACTCATCAATAGTCTGACCCTTGGGAAGACATGAACACTAAACCATTGCTTTCTCTAAGAAATGGATCAAATATCTGCTCTATTTGTCTCATAGGATTGTTCTCAAAGTTCTTTCAATAGCTGGTATAAAACATAAAACATTATAATTGCATTAACAAATTCATTTCATTCTCATATTGCAGAGTTGGACACAATCTTTAGGTTCTAAACGAAACGTAGATTTATTATCTAACAAATGGAAGTAATTAAGTTACAGTAAAACCTAATTATAATTCTCCAAATTCACTTGATTCATAATTTACATGCCAATGAGTTTGCTCGTTACAGCATTAATTAAAATCACTGTTATATAAATGGTTCATTCAATTTATTTCTTTGGGAATGCAAATTCAAGCTTAGTAAACAGTAAGCACACTTTGAAAATGAAATAATGTTGACATCTTAAAAAAACATAACCCAAAAAATGTCTTTACAAAATCTCACTGATCTCCCCAAAATTGAATTATTAGTAAATGAAATTTGAATTATAAGTCAATTGTAAGCATTTATACTAAGGTATCCTTTTGGAAGGAATATAACATTTAATAAAAAGGCATCAACACCAGTAGAGGAAAGTGACCTTTCAGTTTTGTCTAAATATATGTTCTGCTTGTTAACCAACTTCTGACACTCAACTTTAGCTGAGTCCTGCCTTGAATACTAATAAAATGGAAATGACCTTAAGTTAACACTCTAATGTAATTCCTTTCTTTAAAAATTGTAATAAGGAAACACATTCCTCTAACAGACTTTTGGAAGGTTGGAAGTGATCTCAGAAAGCATTTAGTTCAACCCACATTTTAGTAAACTAATGGTTTTGACACCTACCATTATTGTACATTAGGTGATTAAAGACCTGTATTGTTGGTTACTTCTCTGGATAATGATCAAATCCTGTGCATTGGCAGTGAGGAATAGTCCACATAGCAAAAGAGAATCTGCAACAAGTAAAGTTATTACATTTGCCACCATTTCTTTTAAGACATACAGTAGCAAGAGCTATTCCCATCAACTGCAAATTCTGGTACTTTTGGTAAATTCTGAACCCAGCATTTAATGATTTGGATGGTGCTTAGAGGAAAAAATTGAATGTGTCTAGAATTGTGCAGCACAACAAAGGTTAACACACTTGATTTCCTGCTCACATTTATTTGGGATAGACAAAACAGTTATTTCCCTTCCAAAGAAATAGCAAAATATAATACAATAGCAATTTCTTATGTTCATAACAAAATTTCCTGGATCATGAATCAACATGAGATGTAATAGCCTGTAGATATCAATTCTGACAGCTTTATAAAATGTCATTCATCTAAGGCATTTCCAAAATTGTCCTTAAAGCTACATATATACACACATGATTTTATACTCAAAAAGGCATCTATCTATTCATGAATGGAAAGAAAATTCCTTTAGAAGCCCTGTGTAGGGAAGGCTAAAGTAATACATACTTAGATGATAAATAATTTTTTAAGAGAAAATTTGGGGCTCCAAGAAACAGTGTTTACATTCAAACAAACTTGTAATTTTCAAACCTGGATAGATAAAATTTTTGTGATCCAGGCTACAAGAAAATTCACACTGTGAATTATTTGTTTTTCAAAGGCCACTTTCAAAGTACAGACTTCAAGTCCAAAGCAAATACCAATGGCATGGACAAATAAGATGCCTAAGATTTTAACATTTGCTTCCATATGGCTTTCCTCCTCACTTCCCTGCCTGGTACCAAGAGGAAAGTCCCTAGAAGGGGTAACAGCCAGATGTTGTACCATTACATCAGTGGTATTTCTGGATGATGGGATATTGCACACAGATTACAACTTGGTGGAAGATTTTTGAATTCTATTTCAAATGGACTATGGTACTCCAAACACAAAAAAGACTTTTGTCACAACATCCAAGCGTTCTTATGTAGACCCATGTATCTTGTTAAAACAGAAAAAGGATAGAGCTGGCAGGTAGAACTAACAAAGTTAAACTGTCAGTGGCCAATTACCCAAAAGCAAAATATCAGCTTCCAACATCCTTCCTAAGCAAGTCTCTAGTTTGGCTTGTACTGTGCCCTTTGATACACCAGAGATATGGTAGGTTCAGCCTACCAATCCATTTCTCTTGATTCTGACAATCTCACAAACTTGTGACTTAAGGAAGAAGTCACCATTTTTCGGGCACTTTTCAACATTACAAAGCTTAAATCCAGTTACTTAAAGTCAGTTTGACAAACACCCTTCACTCCTTAGCCATCCCTCCCCGCCACAAAAAAGTAGCTAGTATTTTTGTAAAATCTACAACAATTTTAGAAGACAAATTCTTTCAATTTTGCCAAAGAAATAGCATAGATAGTTTCTTCCACCTTTCCTACAAATACACAAGTTCTTTCTCTGAGAACATAGCACTCCAGGTTACTGAAATTCTGTCCCTATTTAAAGAGTCTTTGTGCAACCAAGCTTAGAGTTTACTAGCGGAGGAGCCACTACTGACATTCTTGGTACAGAAATCCAATTTCAGTTGAGTTCCTGTGATCCCCTGAGCAGTTATTAAATGCCCTGTATCTATAATGAGGCAGTAGGCTATGTATAAGACAAAGCAAATTAGCTATGTAAGATATATACATTTGTATTTACACTAATATGAAATACACTGTGACAGAAGAGTTTTTCTGAAGTGTTTAGAGATTCACAGGAAAAGAAAGTCACTTAATATTGAGAAACTTCTAATAAACGATTATAAATTATTTTGGTTGGATGCCATTCAAAAGTTTTCCAGAGTTCTCCTCTATATTCTATACAAATCATAAATAAAAATTACATGATTAATGGATACATTATACATGTCCGATACCAATATATATGTGTGAATTTAAGACCCCTAAATATACACATCCCCACTTAGGATACATTCCATTACATAGAGAAAGCATCAGTCTTTAATAGTAGGTCCAGAATAGCAGCAGCTTAAAAATCTAGTCACCCAGTTACCTCAGAAAATAGGTCCTGAATAGTTCCTGATAAGGTATCCCTGGCTTCCAGAAGCAGTATCTGTTAATATTTAACATAATTCCCATGAAGCACCAGGCTGCATTCCTAATGGTAATTATGCAATCCCGTCACTGGAGAAAATGCTGTTATCTTTTCAAAACCCCATTTATTCAAATCTGGCTAATGGTATAATGAGAAAAATAAGTCACAATGAGGTGATATAAATCCAAGCTATTGAAGATATGTAAAAACGTTTCCACTTCATTTCTTACACATTTTGCTGCCTTTTCAGTGTCTTGTTCACACAGAAAGTATTCATATTGCATAACAGCTGCTGAAGAGCAATATTGAGTTATGCTGAGAAGGGCTGCTCTGAATTATGTTTGAAAATATGCAAATAACTTGATTATCAGTATTTTCATAGACATGGCAAGATATTGTACTAAGTGTTATTTTAAAAGAGTTATGTTTCTGAATCTATACCTTAAAGTAAGTTGTGAGCTTACAACTATATACTCTGCAAAAAATATTTTAGGTCGACTGATAAACCATTTTACTTATATAAAGAAGGGTTTGAAATAAACTATTTGTGTTTATCATTGGGTATATCCATGCATATTCAATGCATAGAAATTCTAAGTAGACTACAAATCATATGGATACTGGATGTACATGATGTATATTTTCAGGTCCACTCCCACATCTGTTGGGGGTATGAACACAGAGCCCAGAAAAGGTCCTTATTTGTCTGTGACAAAGGTTTTGAACTTATACGCTTCTACCCATATTCCATATAAAACAATTTTGTAGACCTTTGCTACTGGCTGTAAGAGATGAGTTGGAAAAGGAGAGACACGAATTAGACCATGTTGTTTTGCACACTGCAACTCTTTTCCTAAGAAGGGCCACTGTCTCTGCACAGCAGTTTCTTTTGCTTGAAGCTGAGATCACACAAGGAGAAACTTATTATGTTTCTGCCAAGTCACAGTAGGAACGTTTGGAATAGCACACCCAGTAGCCAGCACAGGCACAACCAATGTATTGACTCCTAAGATAAGCAGCCTGCTTTATCACTCTTATGAGAATTTCTCATTATACAGTCTTACCCTTCCCCCATCACACTGGCTTTCTGCCATGACTCTCATGGCGGTCAAATCAACACAGAACAGACTCTTCTTCTCAGTTATCATGTATGTTGCCAACCATGACAACGCATTTATTATATTGAATGTTCACACAGGCTCCTTGAATTTGGCTAGAAGATGAGCAGCCCAGTGAGATCCTTTAGATGATAATATGATGGTGTGTTAGTTCCTCCCAAGCAACCCAAAAGTTCCCAACATACTCCACAGACACAGCCTGGACCGCAGAGTCAGGTTCTTGTTGCACAAGAACACTTGTACTTGGGACTTGGCCTTTTCCAACGCTGAATGCTTGCAGGCAAGTTCAAAGTCTAGACACAGAGGCACTTCCAAAGTTTGGCAAGGAGAAGGAGGCAACATCACTAAGTGGGGTTTGATCACTGTGCTGTCTCCAGTAACCTAGACATCTGTGACACATGAACACAGAAGTCTTTAGGTTGTGGATGGTTCATGCTTTTTCTTCTTGCCTCGACAGGACTTGCAGACACAACAGATTATACACGGAGAGGCCAGGAGTAACAAGGGTGAAGTGACCAAGGCAATGATACCCAATCCCACAAGAATCCCTACCACCTGGAAATGGAGAAGAAAAGCATATTTCAGCACTTAAATCTTCCTAAATGTATACTACTCCCAATGATACAATCTTCTGTGGTCTCCCATAGCAAAATTCATACATGCAAACACTAATCCCCAATGTTATGGCATTTGGATTTAGGGGCCTTTGGGAGTTATTAGGTTATGAGGTTGGGACCCTCATGGTGAGATTAGTGTCCTTATAACAAGAGACACTAAAGCACTTGCTTCCTTTCTCTCAGCTCTCTGCCATGTGAAGACACAGCAAGAAAACAGCCCTCTATGAATGAGGAAGAGAGTCCTTACCAGAACCTGACCATGTTGGTACCTGAACCTCAGACTTCCAGGCCTCCAGAACTGTGAGAAACAAATTTTTAATGTTTAAGCCACCTACTCTGTGATAATTTGTGATAGCAGCCCGAACAACTAAGACATTATCTCAGGCATATGAGACAATTACATTTATGGGCCTTTTTTTTGCCAGTGCTCAGCAGTGGTCTTTACTAGTCTCAAAACCAAAAAGACCCAAATGACTAAATTAAGGATGAAAACAAACCAAATGCTAACTCAAGCTCAGCTGCAAGTTCAGACTCGTGAATTGCTGGTGTTGGTTCATTCTCTACCTGAGTTTCCTCAACAGTCTCATAGGGATGTTCATAATGATTCCTAGGATATGAGCATTAATTTCCTCAAAAGGAATAAAGCCTTTGATAAATATGAAAAGACTATTAAAAATAACCATGATTCCTTTGAACCTGCCACATAAGCACACAACGGCAAGTAAAAAGTGGTCTAAGACCCAGCAGGGGCTCGTAGTATTTTAGAATGCTGCCTTTGATAGCTAATGTTCCCTAAAGGGTTTTAGGAAAATCATTCCATGTTCTTCAAAAGGAAAGAACATCTGTATTCATTCATCAGGTCATTGTCAAGTGTTTGGCTCTCTGATGCCCTTGCCTTTCCACTTGTCCAAGGAGACTGTGTTCACGAATTAACTTCAGGCAATTGTCCTCAATTTTTCCCTTGCCCTGTCCGAGAGCCTTTCAGAACCTCCCAAGTAGGCAAAGGCAAGTAGGGAATAGAGTAGGGAGGTAGACTCTTTGAGCTACCACAAGTCTGGTTTATCTCATGCAACCTTTAGGGTCAGAGTACCTGTGTTCGGTTCCACATTACTGATGCCCTTGAGTGTCCAAGTTTATTCCTGCATGGCCCTTTGTCGTAATGCCTGAGGAAAATGTCATTCTGAAAAACAAAGAGAAAGGTCTCAATAAACACGCAATTTTTAGTTAAGAAATAGATATAAGCTACATCAGTCACTTAGTGATATGAATGATTTCCTCTAGGAATTCCAAGCCTGTGATCTTTAGCACAGCTTGATAGTTTTATAAATCACCGAGTAAAATCAGACCATAATCAGTGAGACTCTTGCTTGATTCTACAGGAAAAAGTAATGACTGAGCATGTATCTTGAGAAACCTTATGGAGAACTCTAGCAGAGGTGCAAGATAGAGTGGGAGGACCATGAGCTAGGCTATTGTAGCAAAGCAGGTAAGAGAAATGTTAATAGCTGAGGAATGATGGAAAAAAGGAAATCATGGTCATAAGATATTAAGAAGGTAGTTAACTGGATGGAAAAACAGGGAGACAAAGGCATAGATGAGGGGAAATCTTCTGGGTGGGAAGAGAGCAATGGCTTTGTCAAGAAAAATGATAATATAAATATGGATTTTGTGGAGAAATTGACAACCATAGTTTGGACATGTTGAACTTGACGGACAGTTGGAAGTATCAGAGCAGTACTGTCAAAGGAAGCTCATTACCTAGATCTATAGTTTTAGTAAAAAAAATTGGGGCATCAGTAAATATACATGAAATGGAAGAAATCACGGAAGTGAGTGAGATTGCCCAGGAAGAGGTGTAGACTTAATGGCTCAAAGAAAAGGAACTGAGGTACAACCAGAAAGGCTGAAGGAAAACCAGCAGAGATGATAACTAAAATGGTGGTGACCATAATGTCAAATGCAGCAGAGAATCTAGGAAAGATAAGGACAGAAGAACCTGGTGGACTTTACCAATAACAAACCACTCCAAACCTAGGAAAGGATACTAAGGTGTGACTATGTGATGATCTGAATGCACTGTGATGACTGGAGTAAGTCAACATCAACAGCAAGAGGTGTTTAGGCTTTTTGGAAGCTCGGCTTCTGAAGAACAGAGAGAAGTAGAGGGGTAGGCTTCAGAAAAGGCTCTCTCATTTCTAAATGGCACATAGGGACTGGTATGGGCATGGTGAAAGGATAGATAATGGAAGTTAAAATCACAGGACAGAGAAAAGATAATTGAAGGGGGAAAGCCTCTAAGGCTACAGACTACAGATGGGAATCAGATTCCCATGCAGAGTTCAAGAATACCTTGGCCTCTGAAACCATAGGGATGAAGTTTAAGGAAGGAGCAAACTTATTGCCCCAGCAAACACTCTCTGTTTGATTTCTACCTCAGACTCAGATTTTAGGAAAGCACCCCTATTCTAGCCCCAGGCTCTCACCTTTCCCTCAACACCATGTAACACAGAACACTTGCCTGGAGAGAAGCATCATTTCCACAAGCCAAAGCCTTTTTCTAAAAGCAAAAGAAGTGAGATTCCAAAAACAGTGACTAGAAAAAAATACTTCAACATCTGAAATCTGTATATTCAGCCATTTAACATCTGTACCATTTCATCTCGAGTACCAACACAGTACAAGCGACAGAACAGAGTGTTCTCTGCAACACCATCCCCCAGGCATACTTCAGCCAAAGAATGGATATCTGGCACACACATTTAGTCCTTAACTGTCTTGCCTCCTAAAAGAACCTCATGGGCCCAGCTGCCTTGTTGATATGAACCCAGTTAAAAATCTGGCTAAACCAGAAGGAAAACAGTATGATTTCTTTTGCATTTGTAAGGCATGTAGGGTGTACAATAAGTGAAACCCTCATCCAAAATATCATAATTATGATAGGTCTTGAATACCATACACACTTGTAGTTTAAGGGGTTATGGCAAATCAAAAATTTTAAGAATGAAAAACAGCTCTTTCAACCTGAATTGCTGAAATTCTAGAGTCTAAAATGTCCATCTTCTCCTCTATTTGTATCTCTTCTTAAAACACTGAGCTCAACCTGATTGCTATTCTTCCTCATGGATGTCATCCTAAACAACTTATCTAATTTTCAGTTTAAAAAAACAGGCTTAAGGTAGCCAGCAGGTATTCCATGTTAACAGTACTCTCACTGAGTATATTCAGATACTAGAGTACTAAACAAATTGCTTATTGAATTAAAGCAAACCAAGCAATATAACCAAGAGCTGAGAAAAGAATGGCAAACCAAGCATGACTAAGGGCTTACACTGACTGATGTGGCCCCAAACAGGGAATATCTGCAAATAATTTAAACCACCCCAAACTTTAAGAGACTGGAATTAAAGTAAGACCTTCTCACCAAATTCTTCCCACCACCTTTTATCTCTGAGGTTAGCATTTGGCTTGGCACAGGGCTGATGAAACTTCTTCTGAATTTGAGACAAAATGTTACATGAATGGTGAGGAAAAATAATAATCAGACGAGTCCTTCAATCTAGAAAGGAAATAATGATAAAACAGTAGCAATACTGCTATTGTGCCCATGAGTGAGAGTCAGTTAAAAGACCCCATCAATTGAAGTTTTCTTTTTTTTAAATTCAAGAAAAGGAAAGCAATCTATTTGGGTAGGCAGAATAACTGTCCCCTCAAAGATACCTATGACCTAATCTCCAGAACCTGTAAATGTGTTTTCTTAAATGGCAAGAGAGACTTTGCAAGTATGATTGTATTAAGGACCTTAGGATCAGAAAGATTATCCTATACTATCCAAATGGGTCCAGTGTAATTTCATGGGTGTTAAAGGCAGAGAACCTTTCCCTGGCTGAGGTCAGCAGGAGTGATAACTATGAGAGAAGACCAGAGAGATATGATGTTGCTGGAGAAAGGGGGCCACAAGCCTAGCAATGCAGGCAGCCTCCAGGAGCTAGAAAAGGCAAAAAGGCAGATTCTCCTCTAGAGTCTCCAGAAAGGAATGCAGCCCTATCAACACCTGCATTGATCTTAACCTGATAAGACCATTATGTCAGACTTCTAACGTACAGAAAAGTAAGATAATAAATTTGTGCTTTTTTGAGCCACAAAATTTGAGATAATTTGTTATAAGAGCAATATAAAACAAATCACTAATCAGCCTTTACATAATAGAGATAATACCCATCAAGAGCAGAAAATGGCCCTAAAACCAAAACTTGTTTTTAAAGCTAAGGTGACCAAAAGGAGACTTAGTAGTTATCTAAAGTAGCAGAACAACTGGGCATGTAGCTCAGTGGTAGAGCCCTTGCCTACCACACCCAAGAGCATGGGTTCAATCCTCAGCACTGCCAAAAAGAAAGAAAAACAGCCCTAAAGTAGTGGCCTCAGGCAGTCTCATTAAGAAAAATAAACTCCTTTTATAGGACAAAAATAGGCTCAATGTTTTAAAAGGAGGAGCTACAGGATTCTGGCTGTGGTGCAGATAAAGTAAGGGATAAAGCATGTGACAAACCCTTTCCAGGAGGAACTTACATCCAGGTTCTGCAGACAGTACCAGCAAAATGTGTGCTTGCAGTTCTTGCACATCATCTGAGCACAGCCTTCATTGCGTTCGATATAAACCCGGCAAACTGGGCATTGCTTAATTGGGGCTTCCGTATCTGTCCCAAAGAGGGCTCTAGAAACAAATGGATAGGAAGTTGTATTCAGGGGGTGGTCTTTTGCTGAATTCTTAGGACCCTAGATAGTTATTTAGGTAATGAAGAGTCAGTTCATTCTGTGCTTAATTCATTTCCAGAGAAAAGGACGGGGGGTAAAAATAGGAGAGACAAAGATTATTAGTTGTTCAGATAGCTCTAAACAAAGAATTTTAATTTAACTTATTTTGGCTTTCAGTGAATTATATAATTATAGTTTCCACAGCTGATTTAATTCATTGCTTTACCAAATTAATATTTCATTTCCTGAACACATATTGTCTGAATAAGAAGTACAAGGAGTCTGCTACACCACAAAGAAACCAGCTCAGAATCCAAATGGGGTACAGATAGTCATCTAGTAATCTGCCCACTAAAGAAATGGAGGTGTTAGTCTCAATAACCCAAGATTTTAAAACAAATGGAAAAACCTTCTCCAAACAGATGAATAGTTCAATATAGGCTCACAGCACAGAAAATAAGAAGTGGCACAAATTAGGATGGGAGGGAACCATAGTACCTGCTTACACTTCAGTTATTATTCATCAGACCTACCACCCAGCATACGAAGGTGTCCAACTCCCAAAGCACTGACAGATATATGATCAGATTTGGTACTGGTAATAACTTTAATAGTGGGTAGGAGAGTTCCTATTTTAATTCTCCATTTCCCCCAGGGGGAAACAGACTTGTAGAGGACACAGAAATACCAAGTGACAATGTCAGAGCTCAAACCATCCTCTCCTCTGAGAGTTCTACACTGCCCTGTGATACCCGGGGAGCTAAGAATGGAAGACACAGGTTTAAATCTGGCTGAGAAGGCACATGCTTTCCATGTGCCTTAGGTCTCTTTTTCTTCTCTGTTTGTTTGGTCTGAAATTCAAGTACAGCATCACAGCCAGGCAGCATGACTATTCCTGAAGACTGGTTCTACACGCTGAGGGTGCAGGGTGATTAAGCCAACTGGACTAGAACACTGGTATTTTGTTCTTGCTGATGCAGAACAGTCATAGCCTCAAGCAAAGCAAGGGATCAAACACAAAGGTCTCTCACTCTGCACCCTGCTGGTGCCAAAACAACCTTCCATACGGATTTAATTGCTTTCCATCATAACAAAATCCCAACCTTGGCACCATCTTCTCAGAGTATAAGCCTTAAGAGAGAACCTCTCTTTCTGTATTTCCTAAGAGTTTAGGGCCACTGATGCATTGCTGTGTTCTCTCTGCTATGGTCAGCATACCTCATGAGTTGGCAATTGATCAAGAAAGAAAATAATTTCCGTGTCCTTTTGCAAGCAGGAAGAAATGAAATATGGCCAAGAGTAGGCAGACCTGGTGTCTAAGCACGTAGCTGTGGGCAAGTCATGACTTCCTACTGAGAACCCATGAAGCATGGTGCCTCTCTAACTAAAGAGAAAATAAAACTCACAAAACTAATTTCAGCAATAACTGAAGGATTCTCCTAAGGCAAATAACTAAAATCCCTTTTTAAAACGCCTTTTGTTTGTTTTGGTTATTCTTTGTTACCAACTTACCAATTCTGAGACACTTCTCAAGGAAGTTCTATAGGAAAATAATGAATGTCTAAAACCACCATGAGATAAATCCTGTCAAAAGCAACAAATGCTGAGTTTGAAAGGACTCTAGGGAATAATTTCTCTTTCCTTCCTTACCCGTGCTCGGTTGGCAGGACAATAGATTGGCTGTCTCTACAGGAGGCCTCTGCATGCCATACATCCTTGCAACATGAGCAGAATTTTAGGTGGCAAGAAGGGCATTCCACCAACACAGGCCGTCCTGAGTCACTTGCTGCAACAGGGCACACTGTCTGACAGTCTGCAACAGGACACCACGTTCGATGGGGGTCCAGGTGAACTTCTAAAACATAAAGAAAAAATGTGAGGGACTATCTGTCTCTGATTCAGACTTGAAGCTTTCTCCCCTTTGTATTTCTCCATCTCTTATAAGTTGACATTTATGGAAGAACAATATAACCCAGGGTGATTAATGGTCATTTCTACAATTAGACTTCATAACAGATCCAAACCTACCATCCATAAAGTTGCTCAGCCTGCTACAGTTCTCAAATCAGGCGCTGGTAGCATATGTCCCCACTGCCTTCATAAACAGATAAGAAATGCTCTCTTTAGCCAAAAATTGCAACTATAGAAAATTGCTCACCTTTGAGCACTCAAAAATAGGCAATCTCATCTCATCTTTTCTATATTTATTTGGGTACCATCTTGGAAGAAAAATGGATATGAAGACTCTGTCAATTAAAAAAAAAAAGCACTTTCACAGAAGATTTTCATCCTTTGAGAAATAAGTTGTATAACAAGAAATTGAAAAACAAGGAAGAATCAGTTTAGGGACCAAAAAGTACCTGGCATACCTTAGCCAAGAAGTCAGATTACCTGTTGAGTATTCTGTCCTAGCTGTCCCTAGAGCTAGCTAGGAACAATTAGTAAAGGACCCATATGATCTAAAAACAAGAGGTAAGGACTTTTTTTTTCTTTTTCTTTTATTTATATGTGGATACAATGTTTGGGTCATTTCTCCCCCCTTCCCCCCACCCCATCCTTCCCCCCCACCCCCTTCCTCTCCCCCTTTACCCCTCACTACCAGGCAGAAACTATTTTGCCCTTATCTCTAATTTTGTTGAAGAGAGAGTATAAGCAATAATAGGAAGGACCAAGGGTTTTTGCTGGTTGAGATAAGGATAGCTATACAGGGAGTTGACTCACACTGCTTTAGAGGTAAAGACTTTCACAGACCATAAAATGATAGTCATAGGCACAGGCTAGATCCATATGGAATACAAAAAGAGTTTAAAAATCTGGGCAGAGAATCACACCTATAATCTCAACTATGCAGGAAGTGTAGGTAGGAGGATCCTGGTCCAAGGCTGACTCCAGTCAAAAACACTAGACTCTACCAAAAAAATTACTAAAGAAGCACAAAAGGGCTTGGGGGAATGGCTCAAATGGTAGAGTGCCTAGCTCACTAGTATGAAGGCCTGAGTTCAAACCCTAGTACTGCCAAAAAAAATAGGAGCTTACAAATCTTTCTTAGTATTCCTTTTTCTATACATTAACAGACCAAGATTCTCTCATATAACAGTACTTTTAAGAAAACATACTGTGTGAAAAATGATATTACATAGGAAGAGTAGCCCTTTATTCTCTGAACCAATATAGTCTGCAAATTTCTAATTTATAAGATTCTAATTTTAAACCTCCAAGGGCTTGTGAGGCCTAGAACTTTATATACAGGAGACAAACAAATCCAAGAGGTGGTATAAACATAAAATGAAGGAATTAAGTGGAGTTTAATTTTTATAGTTATTTTTATAAATTTGATGTAGGGAGTATACATCTATCTCCATTAATGACTTGCTAGAAAATAAAATAATTGCTCTCATTTAAAAATAGCATCTTTATATATATTGTCTTATCTAATAATTCTGAGGCTGGTATCAGAGAACAATCATGACATAAATATCATCAGAAAGTGGAATCCTGTGATTCAGAGATTCCCAGGCTGCAAGAGAGATGGACCCTCTAAGATTCCTAAAACTTTGGAAAGTCAAGGGGATAGTGACATAGGATCCAAGCCTTTGGCTTTTATTTCTACCCCATTTAACATTTTCTTCCAAACTGGTCTACAGTAAAACAGTAACTACTTCACTTACAACCCAAAGAACTGCAGGCTAATGTAACTTAAGGACTCCCATATTGGCTAGGCACCAGTGGCTCACACCTATAATCCTAGCTACTCAGGAAGCAGAGATTAGGAGAATCATTGTTGAAGGCCAGCCCAGACAAAAAGTGGGACCCTATTTCAAAAATACCCAACACACACACACACACACACACACACACACACACACACACAAAGGAAGAGTGGTAGAGTGTCTCAAGTGGTAGAGTGCTTGCCTAGCAAGTGGGAGGCTCTGAGTTCAAACCTCAGTATTGCCAAAAAAAAAAAAAAATAAGACTTCCATTTCAAACATGTATTTACCATCCATCAGAGATCTTTAAAAGTTTGGTGAAAAAGAAGGAAAAATAAAGGAAGAAAGTTAAGACATATATTACTGTCAAAATTTATAGCATCCCTAGTAGTCACAAAAAAGGATGCAACTTGTCCTAGTAACTCTAGTCAACTATAACCACAGAGTAGAAGTTCTGCCTTGTTTCTATCAGCTTATTATTTCATGTTATCTGAAACAATAGATAAGGAAGCTATAGATTTTTATGAATTACCGTAAAGGACCTCAGTATGCAATGCAGCTGTGGTGCACAGTCCAATGCAAAAGCAAGAGAAGAAGCTGAGCCACAGAAAACAGTGATCTGCATTTTCACCATTATGGGAGCACATAAAGGACCAGGCAAAGGATGGTAGAGGATAGGGAAAGAGGGAGCTATTATAACTTTCCATATAGAGTCACGCATCACTTAATGACAGTGATCCCGTCCAAAGTACATTGCTAGGTGATTTTATTGTTGCGAGAACAAACTAAGAAGGTTATGTGGCTATGACTTCACTGGGTGATATCTTATGGGTCTGCCATTGTATATGTATTCCATTATCGGCCAAAATATCATCATGTGTATTTTCATCACTAGAAGTTTTTATTTATTTATTCATTCATTCATTTATTTTTGGTGGCAGTGAGGATGAGACCCAGGGTCTCATACAAACTAGGCAAACTCTACCACTGAGCTACCTCCCAACCTTATTATTTAGGGATGGCCTACAGAGCTTAGCTATGACCAAAGATTGAGATACCAGAAGATAGGTTTTAATTCTCTATCCAAAAATAAAACTGGAAATTCTAGTCAATTCTGTGAAGTATACACTTAACATTCCTCTTGGCCCCTCTCAATCTTCCTTGCACAAATACAGTCTAAGCATTCCAGAAATGTACTTTCCCAGACTTCCATGCAGTCACAGCTTGGACATGACATAATTCTGGCCGATGGGAGGTAAGGGAGGTCCACCAAGGGAGTCCTAGGACATCACCTCCCTCCTGATATCACTATTCTGTCTGAATGCCTTTGCACACAGTTGTGTGAAGTTATAACACTTGGATCATCACAACGATCTGAGAACTCTGAGGGACAGTTAGGTAATTCAGAGAAGGAAAGCTGCCAAACTAATCAAACCCATGACAGCCTACCTGTGGACTTGCTGTGTGTGGAGCAATTAAATGTCCTTACAGCTCAAGTCTTTTAGTCAGACATTCTGTTCCTTGTATCTGAAAGCATCATAAGTGATAATGCTAACTCTAGTAACAGTGGCCAAGTACCCAGTTCACACAAGGGCTGAACCTTCTACATGGCAGATATTTTATCAAAGGGATTAAACTACAATGTCTGAGATGAACTTTAAATTATTTCCAAATCAGTGGTTTCAGCATTCTATATGTGAGGCACATGTAAAAAGAAACAAAACATACATCCACACACATTATCCTGTAGAAAACCTTGCATATTACAATAAAGATTTACATAATTTTTAAAAAGTTAACACTCTGTTCCAGATCTATATTGTTTTTATATAAGTAAGCAGACAAATAATGTAATTCATATAATTGAATACTATGCAGATTTTTAAAAATAAGGTAAACCAAAATGACAATATGGAAAGACCGCTAAGATATATTGTTAAGTGAAAAAGAGCATATTGCAGAAGAGTATAGATGAACCATATTTATAAAAATATGTATATAGAGAAACACTTTGAACATTTGCAGAATATCAAAGAAACATAGTATCAGTTATCCTTGAGTTATCCGCTGGTAAAGAAGGCAAAGGTTTGTTTTGGCAAATTAACCTGAATTTTTTAAGGTACAAATACCACTTACATAATTTAAAAAAAAAAAAGGTTTTAAAAAGCTATTTATCATTCTGTCATATAAACAATGATCTGGTAAAATAATTTTGGAATTAAGTTGTCCCCTGGAAAATCACTTATCTTCTATAACATGGAAATCTATTCAAATGTCCCCTTTGTTTCTCATCCCCTTCCATACAGACAATTCTCATTTCAGAAAAATTCCCTCGCTTCTTTAGCAAGCTAAGCCTATCTATTCTTCAAGAACCTACTTCTACTATGTGCCTGCCTTAATTTGGGCATCAGAGAATCAGCATCTCTTTAACTGCTATTCTCTTCGTTTCATGGCGCTGGCTTTCCTCTCTTTAGATTGTAGTCAAGAGCTGTTTCTTATTTTATTTCTGTGCTCCAATTTTTGTCTGACACAGTGATGGAATGCTGCCTATTGATTTAAAGCAGTAAGTTCCGGTTTAAAAAAAAACAGCATAGACATACTCCTGTGCAAACAACTGACTTATAACACTAAAAATACCATCTTGAATGGCTTGCATTGGATTTTATTTCCAATTCTCTTCTAGTACTCCCATCAACAGATGTGCATACTTCCATCAACAGATATGCATACACACTGAAATCATCCAATATCAGTCCTGAAGTATGTCCTGATCTATATTAGACCTCAGATCTCCACCCATTTCAATTAGCACTCTCAAATTTGGAAAGACACCAACTTGGCCTAACATGAAACTTTACAGCATGTCAACATTAAACCTCCCTCATGAAGTGTCACTTACAAGGGCAACAATAAATTTTTCCTAACATTAAAACAAGAAATACCTACTCCTTCTAGAATTCTGCTCTCGATCCTAACATCTATTTTATTTCCTTTGCCGTCTCAGACTTTGGATGAGCTATCCACATTTTCTGGTTCTCACTCCTATCTACTATATTCTCCTTAAGTTTCTGAAGTAAAGCTTTTTACTATAAGTATTTTGAACACACTGCTCTCTGAAAATTACAAGTAGCATCATCACTCAAGGCAC